GAGTGTATAGGGCATGAATAGGGTTTTGCTCCATTCTACCCCAAATTAAAGTTAATTTTCAGCCGTTTTAAGGCACCCAGGTTGAGTGAATGCCCCCTTTATGCCTGTGGGTGCTGTCCCTATAGAATGTATACAGCATGAAAAGGGTTTTGCTCCATTCTACCCCAAATAATTTTAATTTTAAGGCACCCAGGGTGTGTGAGTGCCCCCTGCATGCCTGTGGGTGCTGCCCTATGGAGTGTATAGGGCATGAATAGGGCTTTGCACCATTCTACCCCAAATAATTTTAATTTTCAGCCATTTTTGGGGCACCCATTGTGAGTGAGTGCCCCCTTTATGCCTGTGGGTGCTGCCCTATAGAGTGTGTAGAGTATGGAAAGGGTTTTGCACCATTCTGCCCCAAATTAAAGTTAATTTTCAGCCGTTTTAAGGCACCCATTGTGAGTGAGTGCCCCCTTTGTGCCCGTGGGTGCTGCCCTATGGAGTGTATAGGGCATGAAAAGGGTTTTGCACCATTCTGCCCCAAATAATTTTAATTTTAAGACACCCAGGGTGAGTGAGTGCCCCCTGCATGCCCATGGGTGCTGTCCTATGGAGTGTATAGGGCATGAAAAGGGTTTTGCACCATTCTGCCCCAAATAATTTTAATTTTAAGACACCCAGGGTGAGTAAGTGCCCCCTTTATGCCTGTGGGTGCTGTGCTATGGAGTGTACAAGGCATGGAAAGGGGTTTTAATGTAGTGTAATTATAATAGAATTGTAATCATAAATGTAATATAATACAATTATTAATATAATTAGAGTAAATCGTACTGATTTCTCTACTGCCCTATGGAGTGTATAGGGCATGAAAAGGGTTTTGCTCCATTCTACCCAAATTAAAGTTAATTTTCAGCCATTTTTAGGCACCCATTGTGAGTGAATACCCCCTTTATGCCTGTGGGTGCTGCCCTATGGAGTGTATAGGGCATGAATAGGGTTTTGCACCATTCTACCCCAAATAATTTTAATTTTAAGGCACCCATTGTGAGTGAGTGCCCCCTGCATGCCCGTGGGTGCTGTCCCTGTTCTCCCCAGGCAAACCAGCGGAGCTGCAGAGGAAGGAGAGCACGGACAGACACCCGTTCCAGCACGGGGACAAGGTGAAGTGCCTGCTGGACATCGA